ATGTTTCTTATAAATAGAAAGAGATACAATGATAGGGGGCATGGGATATTTTGTTGTAAAAAACATATTGACTTTGAAAGAGAGAATCTCGTCATATCGCATATATACAAAAATAACCTTTTTACCAAGATCTTGCATAGCATTCCCATTGGATCCAAGAACAACTCAAATGTTCAAAGGCTTTTCAATCATTTATCATTATCAGAAAGAATATCCACTGTTCTCATCCTTTTTCGGGTGACTCGTACTCTTTATTTACATAAATGTCATTTATTGTTAGTGCCATTGAATGCCATACTTCACCTTTTTGGGTCATTGAATATCGTTATTGTTGCTTATAATCATTACCTTCGGATAAATATGCTAGTTATTTGGTGACACACATAGCTTTATCTTTTGGATATTATTGTTTTTTTATTAAGATTAACTCTTCTTCATACAAATCTAATTGGTTGATCCAAAAATCAATAATTTTTGGTTTAACAGTACTAAGTTCTTAAACACTGCTGTAAAAGAATAATTGGCTATGCGGCTGTAAACTTGAAAACATGGCTCTGTAGTGCAATGTAACGTAGTGTGCTATATTTCTATGCAAATATTCGGAAAAAATTCTAGTAGGAAACGATTTCACGCTGGAATTCGGGTTAATCCGGATCCCAAAACAAAATTCGGATAATACTGAGCGGAAAATCAAAAAAGTACTACTAGTGCACAATTCACTTGTCAAATTCAAAGTTCAAATGCTCGAGTGTGAAATATACAGAGGACCAAAAAGTCTAAGGTTGCATGAATGTTAATAACCTATTGGACACCTAAACTCTATTTAAAATGTGCCAATTAAACACAAGCTGAACATTCTATGAACAAAAAAGAGCGCGTGCATTACAGGCATTTAACGTGGCAAATGCAACCACTAAAAAAATGACATGTCAATACATCCCCACTTTTCTCTCTATCTCCCCATCTGTTCCCTACTCTCTCTAAGAATAAATACATCATTGTTCATCCCCTCTAATTCATCTGAACTTTTATCCTTTTCGCGTTTTTATCTCAAGAAAACCATTAGCCATATGGGAGGAGGGCCATCAGATGTTGGCTAGGACAAAGAGCTAAAGAAAAGTAGAAGAAGATTTTGGCCGAAAAAAACTATCCGCCGGCGAACACTTTTTTTCGACTAGAAAAATTTAAATTATTAAAATACAGTTCCCAGAGATTTGATTACTTATCCACCATCGATGTCTTTCTTAACAACTGCTTCAATTATTTTTTAATGAATGGCAAGAACATAATATGCATCTCATAAGAACTTATCACTCGTTGTTGGGATCAAGTTATGCGGTGAAACATGTTTATGAACGTGGGGCTGGGTGTTTGGCCGATTCTTGTTGTTTATCATGTTCCTTTTTTTTTAATTTCTCTATTTGCATTGATTGTGGCTTGCAGGAAAACGGATCTTGCGGGATAGATTGGGTTCCGGCGAAAAACCTTTTCTCATTTATCATCTATTTTACCACTTCGCTTTCCTTTAGTTTTTTCGATTTTAGCAGTCATAATGATTTGATTTGTTTGGGAACATTAAATTTTTCATCCATTCACGCACCTAACTTTGGGTGTGAAACACGTGCTATGACATGTAAGCATTGAGTGTGTAATAGGTACACTTCCACTTGAGTTTAGGTGTTCAATTGGTCATTGTCTCGGTTAAAGTGCCTGGATGAAAAATATGGACTAGTTTAGCGGCTGTTTATGTATTTTACCTTTAAATATATTTTGGTATTTGATTGGCACAAAAGTACATGGCATATACAAGGTGGACGACCATCTACGGTTGTCGATCAATGTAAAATGGTTTGACTATGATAAGTAATTTGATTATTGAATAATCTTTTTTCATTTTTGAATAATCATTAGGTATTCTGTATTCTAATCAGGGGCGGCTCAAGCACATACGGGGCCTAAGGATAGAGTTTAATACAAGGCCTAAATTTTTAAAAGAAAGTTATAAGATATGTTTTTATTTGAAGTCTATTCTTCTAACTTTTTGAGATACAAAGTTGTTAATAATTTTTTTTTATAATCGATTTTCTCTAATAGATTATGTTCAATTAATAATATAACCAACTCATTTAATCTTTCTTGAGATATTGATGATCTTAGATAAGATTTTACAGAGCAATAGAAGTATAAAACTATTGAAAACTTACAAATATTGTTTAACACTTGAACTAATGAAATATTTAAGAAAGAAGGTGAGTAATGACACTTTGGAGAAAGAAAGAGTAAGAATATCACAGAGAAAGATAGAAAATATATAGGATTTTCTGAAATATGAAGAGAAAAGAAAGAATGACTTGGACAAATTAAGAAAGAGAGCGCAAAATTTTTAATGAAGTAGTAAAAAATGAAAAACTGAAACGTTGCAAAAACTATTCATCTACCCATTTTTAAGTAAGTCAAATTATTACCTCATTTCTATATCTAAATTTTTTTCTTTCCCTTTATATTAAAAACTCTATTTTTTGTATTAGAAATACTAAATATTATTTTTTAAATACTTATGAACTTATTATTTTTTAAAAATGTCCCCCTCCCCCCCCCCCCTCCCCCCAAATTTGGGGACCTAAGGCACAAGCCTTACTCCTCATAACTATGGAGCCGGTCCTGATTCTAATTCGACTAGTTTAGATTCACGTAGCATAACATCTATTAAAGGAGAAAGTGCTCAGTACTAGGAGTCTCTTTATTTATAAACTCAAAGCCGAGAGCTTCGATTAAGAATGAAAAGATCATATTCGTCCCACCATACTTTTTGATAGTGAATACTGACTGATCTAAATAAAATTGAATGAATGCATATGTTTTATAGACCCAATTAATTTAGGATTATGATGTAGTATTGAGTCTATTAATTGATTGAAAGGTAAATAATAAGACTCCTTGTTCGACGAAAAAAAATATTCCTTGTTCATTGAAGCAAATTATATGAGCAAGAATTAATTGTTTTAGCCGAAGTCATTTCTTATTTTGATGAATAATATTTTTTCTAGAAACATATTTACAATTCAAACAATTAAATACTAAAACTATTTTTATTATAGAAGACGGCTTCCCCCGTAGACACCCTAAATTTGAATCATTTGGAGTTTTAAATGAATTAACGAGATATTGTTTTTTTCAACTCTATCAAAATGACATATATTCCACTAATACATATTATGGTTCTTTACTTTGACGGGTTACAATTTACAAATATCAAAATTTGATATTTTGAATATTTTTTTTACATCTATTATCAATACCAAATAGCAGTATATTTTTTTTAATCGATTTTGATGATAATATGCATATCGTGGAATATCGATAACAATGAAATTAATAGTAAGAGAAAGAATCGTTGACTTAAAAATCACGAGGGTTCAAGTCCCTTTATCCCCAAAGAAATTATTGCACCAATATAAAGTTGTATACGGTTGAAATCGGATATGTCCAATTTTCCGGGCTCGAGGGGACGCCTTAAGCCCGAGTTCAGGATGGATCGAGTTCGAGCTCGATGGACTAGGCTCGAGCTCGATGACAGAGTACAAGGCTCGGAGAACTAAGTGTTCGAGGAACGTCGAAGCCTAATATGACTGGCCTCGAGATAATGCCGTTGTGGATTTGTAACAGAATGAGCATGATTCCTGCCACGTCCCCAAGATCGTGGCATAAATCCCGAAATAGATTTGTACGAATCCGTACTAGGCGGTTAGACAGCTGTCCGAATAAGATTCTTTACTGTAAATAGAAATGTACCTTATTTAGGGTTCCCCTATTATATATAGGGGGACCCCAATCATTTGCAAAGATCATCTAATCATTGGCAAAGAATATACTCTCTTATTTTTTCGCTCATTGTTCATCAGAATTGTCCTTTAGCTTTATTATTCTTGCTTTATTGTTCTTAATCCATCTCGAGGTCACTTTGGCTCGAGGCCGAGACTGGTCTACATTCTGGTTTGATTTTACTTGTTCCTTTCATTTATACTTCAGATTTCTTGGTTATTAATTAGTATTGAACTGAATCACGTATCTTTAAAACCATAAATCAAATTTAATTGTTACTCGTATTTTCGAGGTAAACAAAAGTTTTTGCATAGCTCAGGGATACAAGCATTATTGCTCCTTGAATAGCTAGACTGAACGAATTAAAAAGTTGTTTTTTTCCAACAAATAACTTTACTATATTAGATAATAATAGCTCTCAAAGAGTCTAAGGATGCAACAACATCGTTTAAAATGTTGTTGATAGTTGGATAAAACATAGTAAAAGATAATGAAAACAAAGACATTTCTTTTTTTTTTCTTTTTTTTTTCGGAGCACCCGTTTCTGTATCTATTCTGCCTGCCCCCACCCCACCCCACCCCCAACACCCACACAAAGACACACATGTCTCACGGCATAGGACATAAATAAATTAGTTTAAATTTGTACACTGATAATATATACTGTAGTTTTTTTTGCGTCACAGGTAACTCCCAACGGTAATATTTTTTAGCGAGTAAATCATACGCTCCTCCCCATGGACCCGCCGGACAGCGCCATTCCGGCGCGCCTGGATGGGCAAAACGCTTCTACTAAAGAGGCGAAGCAAACCATTGAAGCAATTGAAGGCAACATCTCCTATGCGACCACAGTTACAAACTCCCCAAATTCAACTGTGTGTCCTAACCGCCATGAACGAGACTCTGTAATTGCAACACACACCACACACAATGGTATGCCGGCAATCATGTTCAAAGCGTCAGACTACTATGGAATCATGCTTCCGAATGCAGATTCACTTTAGTTGGCAGATTTCTTAAACCTCGGCCCCAAATAGATCGAATTAGGTCTAAATTTAAGGAATTGATTTCTCTAAAAGGATCGTCCAAAAATTGGCGTGTATGACAATTTCAATGTGTTTCTAGATTTCACTAATGAAGAAGATTTCTCCATGGTTTGGTTCAAATGAGTTATAGAGATGGAGGGACAATATATGTGGCTTCAGAAGTGGTCACCGGATTTTAAGCCGGAGGAGGATCTCCCGATTGCTCCTGTTTGGGTTCTTCTTCCTGGCCTCCCTTTTCATATGCATACATGGCAGTATGTAAAACAAGTGGTTGGCGTTGTGGGAACTCCACTCGAAATGGACTTAGCGACTAGGGGCAGAACAAGACCAAGTGTAGCTAAGGTTAGAGTGGAAATTGATTTGTTAAAACCACAACCAGATTCTGTGTATGTGGGACAAGTATATGAAAATGCTCCTCAAAAAGGATTTGTTCAAAAACTCGAGTATGATGGAATTCCTAAGTGCTGCAAGTACTGCAGAAAATTGGGTCACAATTTGCTAAATTGCCGGGCAATTGAAAGAAAAAAAGCAGCGGAGGACAAAGAGGCTGAGATCAGGAGGAATAAAAAGGCTACTGAAGCAAATCTTACCACAATCAATGAGAATGGAAAGGCTCAAGGAATTATGGATGACAACAGATACATAGGTACAGAGCAAAAGCCAAAGCTTATGCAGAATGATGCTACCAAACAAGTTACAGAGAAGGAGGCGACCAAACAAGTTGATGAGAAGGAAAAGTTTCAGCAGAATGGTATTCTCCAAAACAGTATGGCCATTCAACAAAATGAACAGGCGGATGGAATCAATGACATCAAAACCAGAACTTCCAAAAAGAAGAGGAAAATCAGCAAAAAAAAGACTCCCCCAAAAGAAATCCAAAGTGTCATTTAAACCAATATGGTGTCAAGTCAGCGGCAGCAAAAGGTTTAACAAAGGCAAGGTGGATCAAGCCAATCGACAACAACAAGAACATGAAAAAAAGGATGAAAGCAGTGATGGTGGTGTGGACCTTGATAAAGAAAACAATGATGATAACAGGGACAATGACTCTAGCAATAACTCCAAAGAGTGTAGTAAATCCATTCAAACAAATAGAAATTTTGAAGGGTCAGAACAGGTGGTGCAAGAATCCTCTAACATTCAAAAAAATATGGCTCAAGAAAAGGAAAGGAGCAGTCAGCATACCAACATTCAACATGATCAACATGACCTAACCAAATACCTCACAACTAATGAGGGATCAGTCAGCATACCTTCAGAGATCAAAGCAATGCCGGGATTAATATAGTGGTTCAACTAGACCTAGAATCTCCACAATCATCGACAAATAAACCTCACTCTATGAAGAAAACTGATCAACAGATAGAGGTGAATTCACCAAATAAGGTCACGGCGAGGATTTCTGAAGACCATATACATAACGCCCAAAGCAACCAAGAAGATAATGAGGGATTCTCACTAGTCCAAAAGAGCAAAAACAGAAACAGAAGCAAAAAGATGGGAAAAAAAACTAAAGAGAAGCAGAACTCTTCCAATGTGGAAGGGAGTACAAACTAATCTTCCCTGGACTTCATGATTAATTCCATCTTTTGGAATATTAGAGGTGTGAAATCAAAAAAAGCCATTCCCAGGCTTAAAAAACTCATCAACTTGTACAAAGTGGAGCTTGTAGCAATTTTTGAACCTTTTGTTAGCATTAATAAAATTGACAAATATATGAAATTCCTTGGCTTTCAACACAGTATGGCCAACACGAATGGTCAGATTTGGTTCCTTTGGTCAGGGAACTATCAAACAAGTGTGGTCGACAATAAGGAGCAACAGCTTACTATGAAGATGCAATACACCCCCGCTAATTGTGATCTATATCTCACTGCAGTTTATGCCAAATGTACTAAGAATGAAAGGAGAGAGCTTTGGAGCAGTTTGGAAGACATACACACTCACATCAAAGGTCCTTGGTGCATTGGGGGTGACTTCAATGTAATACTAGACCCAGATGAAAAAAAAAAGGGGGCAATCCTCACAGAATGCACAAAAGCTTTGAGTTCAGTAGCTGTATGGACAATAGCGGGGTGGTGGATTTGGGGTTTGTAGGCCCTAAATTCACGTGGTGCAACAACTGGAGAGCTAGAAAAAGGATTTGGAAGAGACTTGACAGAGTCTTTGTTAACGACCTATGGACCCAACTTTTCCAGATTAATATGGCCAAGCACCTTGGTAGAACTGGATCAGATCACAGGCCTCTCCTCATCAAATGTTAAAAGGAGCCTCAAGCTGGCGTCAAATACTTCAAATTTCTAGATTTCTGGGCTGAGCAACCATCATTCATGAACCTGGTCGAAGAGGTTTGGAGCACTCAAGTTCCTGGAAACCCCATGTGGAGGCTACAACAGAAATTGAAACTTCTTAGTAAGAGTCACACTAGATGGTCGAAAGAGAAGATTGGGAATGTTTTTGAACAAGTTAACATATGGGAAGCAAAAATGGTAAACTTGGAAGAGATTGACGCTCTTAACAACACAGATCAATCTAGAGAGAAGCTCAATAAAGGGCAGGCAGAATACATTAAGTGGCTAGGTATGCAAGATGCCATCCTTAGACAGAAAGCGCAGCAGAAATAGTATGAAGAAGGGGATAGCAACACCAAATACTTCCATAGTTTAATTAGAAACAGGAGATCTAGGTTCCATCTTCACACGATCAAGGATCATAATGGCTCATGGGTCCAAGGGGATGAAAATATTTCAAAGGTTGTTGTGCATCACTTCAAGCATCTGTTTAACCTTCAGCATCAATTCAATAATCATGATGTCCTCAACTGTATTCCTAAATGTATCACTGAGGAAGATAATGATCTTCTCAATGCAATACCTGACGATGATGAGATCAGAGATGCCGTGTTTAGTATGAATGCTTCAAGTGCAGCGGGATCAGATGGTTTTAATGGCACCTTCTATCAAAAATGCTGGAATATCATCAAGAATGATATTGTAGACTTTGTGCAGAACTTTTTCAATGGCAAGGGTATGACCAAATTCTATAATCATACATGTCTGATTCTAATTCCCAAAGTCGACTCCCCAACCAACTTCTCTGAGTTCAGGCCTATTAGTCTGAGCAACTTCACCAGCAAAATCATTTCTAAGATTCTTTCTAGACGACTGAACCCTATGCTTGAGAAAATAATTTCCATTAATCAAAGTGGTTTCATCATGGGCAGGATAATTACTGACAATGTGCAACTACTTGTCACGACCCGGATTTCCTACCCTTGAGAGTCGTGATGGCGCCTACTAATCGGAGCTAGGCAAGCCAAGTATTAAAACATTGTCCGATAACATCTCAACAATATAAATAAAACGAGTCATTTAAATTAAAGCGGAAGGCTTAAAAAACATAGATAACTGAAAACCAAATGCGGAAATTCAATTTCAACCTCTACCCAAGACTGGAGTCACTAACCCACGAACGTATATAGAATACTACATACAAAGTCTGAACAAAATACAATACTGTTTGCTTCGGTACAAGTGATAACAAATTGAATAAAACATGGCATGAAATGTCCCTTCGTGCATTAATAAGCAAAACATGGCACGGAATGTCCCTTCGTGCATTAATAAGCAAAATATGGCACGAAATGTCCCTTCGTGCATTATTAATCAAAACATGGCACGGAATGTTCCTTCGTGCATTAATAAGCAAAACATGGCACGGAATGTCCCTTCGTGCAAATATAATCAAACATGGCACGGAATGACCCTTCATGCAAATATAATCAAACATGGCACGGAATGACCCTTCGTGCATTATCACTCTTCCTCACCCAAACAGTAATCACAACCAAACGGGGCGAGGGGACAAACAAATATTAAGAAATGTCCCGGCAAGGGAAAAACACAAGTAAACAGCTAAATTCCGGCAAGGGAGCAACAACAATAACTTTCACATCCCGGCAGGGGAGATAATCAATATACTCAAACCATCCCGGCAAGGGATTAATCATATCTCTTTCTATTTCTTTCATTTCTTACTCAATAGTCTTTTTATCGTTCGAGCCAACGCTCCAAAGAATTTACAATTCATAATTAGTCTCCTTACTCTTCACATTACATAGAATCATCAATTAAGCCTGGAAGAGTCGCAACAAAATCAGATTACGTACAAGTGAGGACTCACGGTCATGCTTGACACCAGTGTATAGATACTTGTCACCATATACACCGTACTCAACATTTAGCAATTAGCAAAACAATACTCTAACCCTATTCCCTCAAGCCAAAGTTAGATCAAACACTTACCTCAAATGCTCCAAAATCAACTCATGCCTCTAGTATAGCTTTACCCCTCGAATTCGGCTCCAACTCAGTCAAATCTATGAAATAATGACTTTACAATATTAATAATAGCTAAACAAACTAAACCCAATGCCTAAATATGAATTTCTAAGCTTTCTACCCAAAATTCCAAAAATTGACCCCGGGCCCGCTTGGTCAAAACCCGAGGTTCGAACCAATTCCATTTATTTCCAAATTCGACCCCAAAACGAGGTCTAAATCAAAGAAAATCGAAAAGCCCTAATTTTACCCTTTTCCCCCCAATTCTTACCATGAACTACATGATTTAGGTCTAGGAATTTGATAAATGATGATAGAAAATGAAGAAAACGAGTTAGATAATACTTACCCAAGAAGCTTTGGTGAAGAAGAGCTCTAAAGATCGCCTATGGGCTGTGGAGAAGATGAGTTCGTGTGTTTTGGGTGAAAAATCCCGTCAATATTCTGTTTTGGGTATTTAAAAATCACTGGGCAAAATTTGCTCTACGCGATCGCGGAAAGGGCATTGCGATCGCATAGAGCACAAGAAATTATCCACAACATAAGGCAGAACAACAACGGGGGTAATGTGGTTATCAAGCTGGATATGGCTAAAGCCTACGATAGAATGTCGTGGAATTTTCTAATGGCCGTCATGAGAAAAATTGGTTTTTCAGAAGCTTAGATTGATATCATTTGGAGATTGGTTAGTGATGTGTGATATTCTATCATCATTAATGGGTCTAGAAAAGGCTTCTTCACATCTTCGCAAGGTCTCAAACAGGGTTACCCGCTATCTCCTTCCCTGTTCATTATTGGAGCTGAGGTACTGTCCAGGTCCTTAAACAACCTTGCTACTCTCAACAACTTCACCCCATTCTCCATGGACCATAGAGGTCCTATCATTACACACCTTGCTTATGCCGATGACAAATGATATTCACTGGAGGTGATAAGCACTCGATAAAACTCATTAAGAGTCGGATAAGAAGGTATGAACAAGCATCAGGTCAAAAAGTGAACAACGACAAGAGTTTCTTTGTTACTGCTCCGAACACCTCTGCTAGTAGAATTAATAGAATCAGAAGAAATTTTGGTTATATGGACAAGCCCTTTCCTTTCAATTATCTCGGATGTCCAATCTACAATGGCAGGAAGAAAATTAGCATCTTTGATGGCATGCTAGCCAAAATTGTGAAAAGAATAAACGGTTGGCAGGGGAAGATGCTTTCCTACGGAGGGAAGATAACCTTAATCAAACATGTCCTCCAATCCTTGCCTACCTACATTTTATCTGCTATGAACCCTCCCAAAGGCATCATTAAGCTTATGGAAAAACACTTCAACAATTTCTTTTGGGGGTCTTCTGAAGGAAAAAACAACTATCACTGGTCCTCCTGGAATAATCTTTGCTAACCTAAAGATGAGGGGGGTGTGGGAATCAGGAGAATGGAAGATATCACCGAAACGCTCTCTTTGAAAAAATGGTGGAGATTCTGGACTCAACCATCCCTTTTGGCCATTTTCCTTAAAGCTAAATATTGCAAAAGAGCTCACTTGGTTACCAAAGTT